TTGAATCAGAAGTGGTTGTGTTTTCTCTCCATTCTCGAACTTTTTTCACTGTGCTGATTAGTCTCCTGATTCTGAGAGGATTGAGCTGGAGCCAGCTGGATCCTGTCCCCATCCTTACCTCTTTCTGACTGCAGATTGCAGGCCCTTGAGGATAATGCACTGTCAAGGGTTGTTGGGCAAGAGATGTAGAGAGGAGTGCCATCTGAGTTCTAGGGGGATCATGTCTCCTGGGATCTCACAATTCCTCCCAGAGGCCTGATGTGCATATTGAGCAGGCTGTTGATGGTACTGAGACTCCTGAAATGCCACATGGAAGGCCATTCAGGGAAGATGAGCAGCTGTCCTGTATAATCTTCTGAGTTCTGCTCACAAGGAATGTCTAAAGTTACTCTGACATTCGTTATTGAATGCCTTTCCTTATTCCAGTCAAATGACTTTCCTTATTCCAGTCAACTCTCCGAGTCAGATTAATAGTCAACTGGTCTACTATACCAAAGGCAACTGAAAAAAATAGCTGTTGAAATTTACCCTGGGACACCTGATGCAAACTATAGGAAAGTAGCCTCTAGTATGACCACCTTAGAACAAGTTCAAAGGTCAGAAGCCTGATAGAAGTAGACTTGGATTCTAAGGAAAGAGTATAGCATCCATTTATTTCTGCACTTGGAACGAAAAGCTAAAGACACATTCCAAATCTGCACAGTTGTTGACTCACCAATTAGAATCCATTATGTTATATTGCAGATGCCCATGTACTTTTGCTATCTTAAAAGAAAAGAAAAAACCTTTTGAAGTCTTGTATCATCTAAAAATCAGCAGCATTGATACACCTGGGAACTTGTAGAAATGCAGAATTACAGAATCCACCACCAGCCCTACTGAATCAAAATATTGCATTTTAACATGCTCCTCATGTGACTGGGCAGCACACTTAATTTAGAGAAGTACTACTCCAGACTAACATCATTATCATTGCCTTAAAGTGGAATAGGAATGCAAAATCTTAAGCCCTACACCAAATCTACTGAGTCAAAAGCTCTGGTAAAGGGCCCACAAATATGTGTTTTAACAAGCCCCATGTTTCTGATGCTCATTAAAGTTTGAAAACCACAGTTCTACATTGAATCACAAATATCAAAGATTGAATGTCACTCATGAGACACAGGCTACCAGAGTTCATACTTCCAGTTACTTTGAGCATTTCCTTTAAGCAGACAAAGCTGAGGACCTTTTCTGTTTGATCCAGGTCAGCTGGCCTAGCAAGGTACCTATATTTAGTGATATTTTCTGTTTTGGATTCATTTTATTCTGGTGGTCTAAAAAGGTACATAGAAAGTAGAAAGGTTTGAAGCTGAAAGACTGAATGGCTACTGATATATGTTGCTAGTAAATTTTGACTAGTGTCTCTGTTTGAAGTCTGCTCTGGATAAAAACTAGAGGAAAGATTTGCTATTAAATTTTTTCATCAATCAGCACATTTATTTACTATGTATACACTCTGCACAGAATGTGGAAGATACAAAATAATGTGTTATTTTTGCATAAAATGCAGCCATATAAAGAGTATACGTATATAACATGCAGCGAGTGCATAGGAAGCTAATACACAAGGAGGTTGCACAGTTTGCAAAATCTATATAGTGCATGCACTATTTGTATAAAAATACAAATAGTGCATGCACTATATAGATTTTATATAGTATTATTCCTGCCCTCAGTATAGACAGTGATATATGAATAACAAGCAAGAGATAAATATTAGACAGAGGTAGAATGTAAATATTCTCATTTATAAAATAGTCCTGGAGAATCCATTAGAAGTGACTGTGGGGTAATAGAAAGAGCACAGAGTTGGAGTTAGGGAGGGTTAGGCTCTCAGCTCTGCCATTTGTCAGCTTATATGAACTTACATAGTCAGTTCATCTCTCCAGTGTTCAATTTCTTCCTTTTTTTCCAGTGGATTTCTTTTTTTTTTTTTTTTTTTTAACTTTTTATTGTGATTTGGTTGAAATTTTACACAGCATATTTGTTTTACATTCAACCGTTCATACACAATTTGTTTTGTGACACCTGTTACATTTGCCATAGTGTAATAGCTTATTGCCCACTTCCTCCTTGTGGTGACCCTTTCCCTGTGTTCTTCTTACCTGTGTATTACTGTATCCCTAACTTTCTCCCTGTGTAAATGCTGCCTTTCTAATCTCCCATGATTGATTGTCCTAAGTAGTGCATCTCCCTGGTGTAGGTGTTTAGCTCGTAGTCCTGTCCATTATTTGGCTAAGGGTTAAGACATGAGAGTGAATTCGATTCCAGGCTCAAAGGGTGACTCAAAGGGTCATAGTCTCAGGGGTTCACCTTTCTCTATCAGACCAGTAGGCGTGGTCTTTTTTTTCCTGATTCTGAGTTTTGTTCCTCCTTTTTCTCCCAATCTATACAAGATCTCTAGTTTTGGTTCCTTTCCAAATGGTTAGCGTTGGTAGCTGGACACCTAGTTCTTCTGCTCTCAGGATCCTATAGTTTGAAGTACTCATGGTCCATTAGTCTAGAGTTCAATTTCTTCATGGGCATCATAGGCAATACCTACTTTACTCATTTGACATTATTGCTGGGACAATTAAATAAAAGATTACATATAAATAAACTTTGAAGATCTGAGGATACATACAAAATAAAAGAATAAGTTTGAGGATTATATTGAAGTAGTGATACTATGCCCTGTGGATAACAAAAACATCAAAAAGTGTGGTAAGTACACAATAGAATACTGTGCAACACCAAAGAATAATGTAGAATTTGCAAAACTGCATAATGTGGATGAACTTGGAGGACATTATGCTGAGTGAAATAAGTCAGTCATAGAAGGACAAATATTTTATTAGTCCACTATTGTTAAAAGTCAAGGAAAGGTTTATATGTGGAAGGGAACTTTCATTGTTGGTTACCAGGAGTGGGAAGGTAGGGGAGAGAAAATTCCTAGATTGGTTAAAAAAAAAAAAAAAAAAAATTTCTGTCTATCTAGAAACCAAAGATTATTAGTGGTTACCACAGGTAGGAGGGAGTGGGAAAGGGGAAGATTTCATTTGCAGAGCATTGAGTTTATACTAACAAAACCAAACTCACTGACTTCAAGTCTATTCATTCATACTGACCCCTCCTTGGGTTCCTGAGGTGGTATCACTACGGAAGTTGATTACCCAATCTTCCTTCTGATGGGTGGCTGGTGGGTTTGAACTGTCAGTCTTCCGGTTAGTAATTAAATGCCTTAGGCACTATGCCATGGTAGTAGACTATTTTGGGTAAGGATAGCAATAATGGTGGTACCACAGGAAAAATGTCATCAATGTCCCTGAGCTATAAATGTGGAAATTCTTATGTTGGTGAAAGTCTAGGTGTGTAAGTCTTCACCACAATAAAAGGTCTAAGCTGGAGTTTAAAATCTAGATATGAATCAAAATATACACAAAGACATGATATAAGGTGTGTGTAATGAATGGTATTTGAAAAGTGTCTGGGTCATTCTTTCATATCCCTCATGTCTTTGCTCAAATGACACCTTTCTAGTGATGTTTCTTCTGACTGCAGTATTTATCCATCCATCCTATACCATTTTTTCTACTTTATATTATCTTTATTATATCACCTTCTAATATACTATATTTATGAGTCAATCAGTTGCTAGTGTTTGTCCCCTCCACTACTTATGTGTAAGTTCCAAGAGTATATGGCTACTTATCTTATTCTTTTATCTTTTATCTTCAGAGTTAGGTGGCTGACCCATTGTAAACATTTAATACTTTTGAGTGGAATAAATGATCAGGATCTTTTAATACCATTAAATAGCTGACATGCAACATTTATTATTGTTTGTTTGTTTCATCAATGAATCAAGTACTTATTTCATTATCTTTAGGAAAGAGCAGAAGTGTGAGATATTGAGTAGGAGAAATATATGACAACCCATACTGAAGTGTGGCCCAAAGACCTAGCAATAGACACACATTTTCTAAGACACACGTTTAACAAGTACAGAATGTAAAAGTAAAAATTATGGTGAGTTAGTGAAAGAAGCTGTCACTGAAATTTAAAATAAATGGGATCTAGACCTACCCAATCACTAAAGAATATTTTGGTGTACAGAAAATACAAATTTATCTCTTTAGATTTTGTTTTCATCTATCTATCTATCCATAATTTAGCTTGTTTATAAAAGTACCTTATTTCTCTACATTTATATAATTGTCAATTTAAAAGGAAAAAAAAGTCCCCTTTTTTTTACATTAAAGAAAATATCTCTTACTTCACATTTATATTGTATAATACTTCACTTGATATCATGAAAGTCATAATTAATGGGCATTAATTTTTATAAAACCTTAAGGTCAAAGAAATCATATAACTACACTTTAGGTCCTTAGCAATTTTGCATTTGTTTTTCAAAGACACCATTGCCTTGTGTGTATATTTAATACAACATAGAATATGTTTTTTTACTTTCCTAAAATAAAGGTTTATTTTAAGATTGACCTAAAAGGTATACTTTGGCTTTATAGTTCATGTTAAATAACCTGACTATTTTGTTACAACTTTCTAAAATAAGACAAATGCTTTATGCAGAACAAAAATTAAGTTCCTGTCAAATCTCCTTCAGAAAGAAAGGAATGTTTTCCTCATCATATTTAATTTCCTCATATATTGTGTTCATTAAATTCAGAAGTTAGTAGTACATAAATAAGACATGGTTTTCTTTATGAATTACATGTAGAGTACACACATTTAAAAGCTTATAGGGAAAATGAGCAAAACTTGGAAGCTCAATCACACAAAAATCAACTTTTTTCTTTTCTTTTGTAAGCTGAAGATGACCTAGTGATCTTTGACCTTGAAAATATAATTTAAAAAAGAATTAGTTTTAAGTATCTTACAGACACTGTGTATTTAAATTAATCTAAATTGATCAGTGTTCTAGCTCTTTTCTTTTTACTTTGATTTAATTTTGTCAGCGGCTTACACATGATGGGGAGGCTCCTGTAGCCGATGCAGCAAAACTCTACTGGACATTTGTAAGGACCACGCAATCTGGAATTCTTGGCATACTGATCACAATGCTAGTCTACATCCTCCTGTTCATCATTTCTTCTTTGATTTTGTATTTGTATTGTCTCAGGTAGGTGCTTCAATTGTTTCGTTTTTGAAGATGTTCCACATCCAGTATTTTTGTTATACCTTAGTCTGTGGAAGCTTGGTTAAAGATGAGTGTTTGGAACTATCTCTATATCTCTAAGGTAGATATTTTCTTGGTTGTGTCTAATACCTGCCGTGACAACTGGCCAAGAAATGATTTGATTTCTTAGAAAATGTTTTCCTCATAGTAGAATGGGCTAATTTTGCTGTGAATCATTGAATTTGTTTCTCCAAACCAGGGGCCAATAGGTAAATTGATGTTGATATCCAATGACATGTTAGAAGTTTTCCTCTGATATTTGTCTAAAATTCTTTTTCTCCTACTTCTTAGTTTCTTCCAACTATATCTCATTTTTGGCAAACACATGTAGATGAATAATTCTTCAGCTTTGATCCTGAATGTCATCATGTTTGGCCAACAAAGTCATAAATTTAACAAGCAAGTATATTATCCATATATTTGTGAAGAAAGACAAAGGTGGCACAAATGGTTTGCACTTGTCTACTGTTCTGGTTACCTAGTACCTCTCTGACAAGAAATATACCACAAATGGGATGGCCTTATCAAACAATAGTTTATTCTTACAATTTGGAGGCTTTAAGTCTAAGTTCAAAGTGCCAGCTCTAGGGGCTGTGTGAAAGCCCCTTGACCTTGGGCTTCAGCTCTGCCATTTGTTCCTGGCCTACCGAAGCTAGAGGCATCTCTTCACTCAGGCAGCAACTGACTGCTGAGGCTAACAAACCCAAGGTCAACAAATAAAATGGCATAGTCTTGATGTTACCAAACCACACAGCAGGCCATTAACTCAAGTCCATTGAAAGTCCCAAGGTCGGCACATCCCTAAAGTAGCTACTCAGCTGCTTGTAGTAGGTCCCACCATGGAGTTGATTGCCAGTCTCATCACAAGGAATAACTTACCAGCTGCCCAGCCACTCAACCAGGCCCAGCCAAGTTGCCACACAAACATAACCACCACATCTGTTGTTGTTGTTATGTGCCGTCGAGTTGGACCCGACTCATAGTGACCCCTCCTTGGGTTTCTGATTGCTCAACCTTCCTTCCAAGGAGTGACTGGTGAGTTTGAACCACCAGCCTTTTGGTTAGCAGTCAAGTGCCTTAGGCACTACGCTACCAGAGCCACACCTACTAACCTAAAGTTTGATGGTTTGAACCCATCCACAGCACACAGAAGCAAGCCCTGGCAATCTGGTTCCCTTAAGATTACAACCAAGAAAGCCCAATCATGGAGTTCTACTTTGAAACACATGAGGTCACCATGACTCTGACTTGACTCAATGGCAGCAGGTTAGTTTTTTTTTTTTTACTTATGAAAAATAGTAGAAAGAGGTCAGTATGGAGGGAGTACAGAGAACAGGAACCAATACAGATTTAGAGAAAAAAGGAAGGACAGTAGCCAAAGACTCAGTGGAAATATAGTTCTTGAGATAATTTTTGAAGGTTTACTGTAATTTAACTAGAGAGAGAGAGAGAGAGAGGGAGAGAGAGAGAGAGAGAGAGACAGACAGACAGACATATCCCTAGGTAAAAGGAAGAAGGAAGATGTATAAAACCACATGGTTGGGAGAAAATATAATATACTTGGCAAACCGAAAGTAGTTTGAAATACTGGAGTATAGGATATGGGGAGAGAAGAACTGGAAGAGATGAGTTTGGGAATGTACTCAAAGACAGGACAATAAGAGACTTAAATGTCATGTTGTTGTTGTGGTTAGGTGCTGTCTAGTTGGCTCTGACTCATAGCAAACCTATACACAACAGAACAAAACACTGCCCAATCTTGTGACAACCTCACAATCCTTGCTATATCTGCAGGATTATTCATAAATTTTTCCAGAGCTTAAATTTGTTTTAATGATAAAGTGAAAGAATGGAAGATTTTAAATGACTAGCTTTAAGAAATTATCTCACTTGCTTGCTAATGATTCTCACTGCCACCAAGTTGATTCCAATGCATAGCAACCCTATAGGACAGAATTGAACTTTCCCAGTCAGTTGGCCAGGTAGCTGTCTTACAAATCTCTTGCCATAGTCTAGTGAGTGTATCCACTGGGACATCCATTTGTTGAAACATCTCAGTGGACATTCTGTCAATTCCTGGAGCCTAGTTCTTAGCCACTTCCTTCAGTGCAGTCTCGAATTCTTCTTTCAATACCATTGATTCTTGATCATATGCCACCTCCTGAAATGGTTGAACATCAACCAATTCTCTTTGGTGTAGTAACTGTGTGTATTCCCTCCATCTTCTTTTTATGCTTCCTTCATTATTGAATATTTTGCCCATAGAATCTTTCAATATTGCATAGGCTTAATTTTTTTTCTTCCATTCTGTCAGCTTGAGAAATGCCGAGTGTGTTCTTCCCTTTTGGTTTTCTAACTCCAGGTCTTTGCACATTTCATTATAGTAATTGGCTTTGTCTGCTTTAGCTGCTTTATGAAATCTTCTGTTCAGCTCTTTTATCTTGTCATTTCTTCCATTTGCTTTAGCTACTCTCCATTCAAGGGCAAGTTTGAGAGTCTCCTCTGACATCCATCGTTGTCTCTTCTTCCTTTCCTGTCTTTTTAATGACCTCTTGCTTTCTTCACAGATGAAGTTCTTGATGTCATCCCACATTTCCTCTAGTTTTCAGTCAAAGGTGTTCAATGCATCAAATCTATTCTTTAAATGCTTCTCTTAGTTCTCTGTGTTCAGCTTCAACTTGAATGTGCATATGGGAAGTTGATGGTTTGTTCCACAATCAGCTCCTGGCCTTGTTTGGCCTAAGATATTGAACTTCTCCATCACCTTTTGCCACAGATGTAGTAAATCTGACTCCTGTATATTCCATCTGGTGAAGTCCATCTATACAGTCACTTCTTATGTGGTTGAAAAAACGGTATTTGCAATAAGTCATTGGTCTTGCAAAATTCTATCATGTGATCTCCAGCATTATTTCTATCACCAAGGCCATATTTTCCAACTACCATAACTCTTCTTTGTTTCTAACTTTTGCATTCCAGTCACCAGTGATAATCAACACATCTTGATTGCATGTTTGGTCAATTTCAGACTGCAGAAGTTGGTAGAAATCTTTATTTTCCTCATCTTTGGCTTTGGTGGTTGGTGCATAAATTTGATAATAATAGTATTAACTGGTGTTCCTTGTAGGTATGGATATTATCCTATCACTGACAGTGGTGTACTTCAGGACAGATCTTGAAAGAGTCTTTGTGACAATGAATGCCACACCATTCCTCTTCAATTTGTCATTCCCGGCATAATAGATCATATGGTTGTCTGATTCAAAATGGCCAAAAACAGTCATTTCAGCTCATTACTGCCTAGGATAGTGATCTTTATGCACTCCATTTCATTTTTGGCAACTTCCAATTTTCCTAGATTCATAATTCGCACATCCCATGTTCTAATTATTAATGATGTTTGCATCTGTTTCTACTCGTTTTGACTCATGGCACATCAGCCAATGGAGGTCCCAAAAGCTTTACTCTATCCACATCATTAAGGTCATCTCTACTCTGAGGAGTCAGCTCTTTTCCAGTCAAATTTTGAGTGCCTTCTGACCTGATAGGCTCATCTTGTGGCATTACATCAGACAATGTTTCAGGGCTGATCATAAAGTTTTCCAGTAATATATCAGACAGTGTTTCACTGCCATTTATAAGGGTTTCACTGGTCATTTCTTTGAGAAGTGGATGGCCTCTTCCTTCTTCCAAGTCTGTCTTAGCCCAGAAGCTCTGTTGAAACCTATCTACCATGGGTAACCCTGCTTGCATTTTGCAACATGGTGGCATAGCCTGTAGCCTCACAGCAACACATAAGCCATCACAGGATGATGAACTGACAGACAAGTTCATCTCCCTTAGTTGTTCCTAACCTCTCTGAACCTGCCTACCTCAGGCAATGGCCTTAATATAGAGCCATACCCAAGCAAACAGTAGCCTCCAATCCCTAGGCCAGCCTACCTCAAGTCCCAGCTTTAATAAAGAACTTCCCCAAGTGAAAAACAGCTCCCAGCCCTGGGTCAGCTGAATGCTGAGATCAGGAAAAGTACTAAATAGATTCATTGATTGAAGCTTTGAGATTATTCGTTCCCTTGCAGGGATAATGATTAGATTGCAGTAGGCTAAGAATGAGGGCATAGAAGCAGTACTTAATGATTTTTTTTTTTTTTTTAATTTTTGTAGAGCTAGGTTGTAAATGAAATGTGGTTAGAAATATATAAAAAAAGGACTTTGTTATGGGAGTGACTTGGATAAATTTATATGAAGAGATGAAAATTCCAAAAGAAAGAGAAACATTGAAAATATATGAGTAAGGGATATAGCTTTAAAAAAACACTTAATATTTTTTATGATGTTTCCTTATACAGAAAGAATACATGTTATTAGGAAAACTAAAAAGAAAAGAGTTAAAAAGTGAAGTAAAAAACATCAATAATGTCATTATAAAAAAAAATTACAAATATTTTGGTCAATTTATTTCAACATTATTCTGTTTCTATTTATTCATACATAGTTGAAATTATACTGTAAATACAGCTTCATATGTTGATTTTAAACTTAATATTTTATGATAAATATTTTCATATTCTGTGCTAGCTTCATAAACATTTAATGCCTATGCAATATTTTATACTCCATAAATAGTATAAAATATTTAAATATTTCCTTACTGCTAGATAAAACATTGTTTCTCATTTTTTGCATCTTATAAATAATTCTGATGAACATCTTAAGGCACAAAGTCTTGTCTACATTTTAGATTATTCTTTGAATAAGAGTCCTAGAGATTCAGAAATACTGGGTCAAAGGACATGATGATTCTAAAATACTTGCTACCTATTACTAAATTATTTTACAGAAAAGTTGCATAGATTTACACTTCCAACATCAGTGAATGAGGAGGCTTTCAAATAATGTTCACTTTATGTGTTAACTATTTTAATGAAATAGAAAAATAGAAA